TAAAATAAACTTCTAGTACCTAATATTATAGGCTGACAGACTGTTTTCGCTCGGAATCGCTTTTCGTGTACCTACAGCGATTAGTTTATATGACAATAACATTCATCACAGTTGCCCCCACCTTTTAGATTCTGAGTGGAGAGATGAATGTATTGATTTTACAATGATGTGTGTTTTTTTTTTAAATTAATTTATTTTTTATTTTTTTTTTGTGTCTGTCATCGCCTTTTAGGACAGTAAAACTGCTTCGATTTTCTTCAAAAGCAACTTTTCTGATTGGAAAGTGAATCTAGTTGGTACTTTGGGGGGTCAAAAATAAAAATATCCAAGTAGTTTTCAAAAGCGACGTGAAAAACAAAAGAAAAATTAAGGAAAAACGGGAATTTTGGTTTTTGGTGTAACTCTTTAACAAATGGCCGTAGATATATGAAATTTTCACAGGTTGTTTATATTTGCATTTTCTATACATGGTAAAATTTTGAAAATAATTTGACTCTTTTTGAACTGTTTACGGACATTGTCAGTTTTCAATTTTTTCAATTTTTTTTTTCTATAAATATCAATACAATTTTATTTGCTGGTTAAAAAAACTTGAAAATTTAATACAAGGCTCCTAGTATATTGTTCACAATAGCAATTGTAAAATATTTAAAATACATAGGCACAATTTTTTTTTATAAGCATTTAAAATTCGAATTTTGACTCAGATATATTGGTATTAATATGTCTTAAACCAAGACTGTCTCCACTCAGAATCGTTTTTCTTATACAATGATATTGTATCATTGAATTCAAATTTAATTCCATCCATTATACAGTGACACACTTGTAACCTAAAAAAAACATCCACTTACCCGCTTTTTTTAATTAATCATATTCCCTTTGTTTTTATTATGTGTAGGTATTGTGTACGTACTCACTATTACTATACTTTCAAATATATCAAATTAACTACACAAATTAATGACACACAATCTTTTCAATTTAGTGTAAGCATACCGCCTCGAGTGTATAATTAAATGTTAAGTAATAATAAACGACCTAGGTGATTTTAAAATAATTTTAGTTAGTTATAGTTTTCTGTTAGTTTAAATATATCAATATAAATTTGTATGAAAAAAAATTTCGAAGTTTAAAAAGTGTATCCCAATCCCCCACCCCCGCCCCTCACCATAAAACATTACGCTATAGCTTATTGGTGAATGTTGTTTATATACCACAGTGGACAGTAAGTATATGTATATATATATATATTAGATATTTAGGTAACACAAGCATAAAATATAAACACTATTTTATAGTAAGTTTTAATTAGACAGTTTGATTTTGAGTATTAATTTAATAATGTTCTTATTTTATTTTGATCCTTGAATAATATCTCGAAAATGTCGGCCATAATAATATATTTATTGTTTTTTATGAACTGTTAAAATTTAACCATCGTCGATTATTTAAATTTTACGACAATTGTATGAACTAACTTAGTAACTTGTATTTATAGATTTATTTATAATATGTAATACGTAGTATAGGTATTGAGAATTTTTTGTGAATAATAAACATTGTACATAACTTGTATATTATTATTATGTTTATAAATGAAAAAAACATTGGTATATGTACATATTTGTACCAAGTATATATAAGCATTTCTATATACATATTTGAACCAAGTTTCCAGTAGGTACCTACCTAATTACCTAACACTTACCTATGTCCTCACTCCTCAGTAATAATAGAATAAATTGTTCATTCGACAAGTGAGCGATTTGAAATCTGTACCTATACATATTCAGATTAATATATTCTATTTGTAATGTTTGAGCGATTTAAATGCGAACGCAGAGATGTACCTATTATGGTTTGATATTTGTTATAATATTAATATATTGTTATATTATTGCTTTCGTTAAAAAACTACGGTGTGTATACTGTACACATAGACATAATATCTACCTATATAAATATCTAATATTCTAATACATTGCCGTCGGGCCGACATGGACACTCTCGGCACCCGCGATCAGTCTGTATATACACATTACCTATATACCTAATAATATAATATCTCGTCTGGCTTTCACTCCAATTATCCGCGCTCTTAATGTTTCGATTTTTACTCGAGTTTATAGGTACGATAATTTCGTATCGACGTGAACTATTTAACTATTACTTATTGTCTTAAAGATCAGGATATTTACATTTTACATTTTTGCACTATACTGATGCATTAGTGACAATGTGACCACTGCAGTAATCTCGTTTACAAACTATAGATGTTCAGCGACCAAAAGTTAAAAGTTCAATTTTCTCAAAATCGTTTTATAAGACCATTGGGTTTACTAATCTGGATTGTCTTTTTTATTCGGCAAAACATTGTTAAAAGTCAATATTATTACAATTAAGACATGTTTTTTTGATAGTTACTATCATAAATTGTTGTTTTTAGTGCAAGATAGGTTTTTTTTTAATGCACACGTCCTATAAACTCAAGTCTCATGACCTGCATACAAAAAATATTTTATCGTGACAAAAATAAATAACTAGTTCAGATTTGTAAATTTTATCTAAAACAATACAGTCAATTAATTCGATTTTCATTTTATAATATTACAATTTTTTAATATATCTATAGAAACGTTGTACTCATATTATGTCCACGGTAAAAATGTATTAAAATATTGCGATTTATCATAACAAGTCCCATTTAGATTTGATAGAAACATATAAGAGACATATGTTTGTAAGAGACATATGTTAATTACCTACTTTGAAAAAAATGTTAAGACCTAAAAGTAGGTAGTAATTTTTGTAATCTACTGCAGCATATTAATTTACAAATAAATAGGTTGTAACACTGAAAACAAAAAACTACGACCCATGTTATTTGGTTTAAAATAGTTCAACATTTTAGTGTTTATGACACACATATTTTAGCCATCCATATAATTGTACACATCACGTCAGCAGTTCAGCACAACTATACATAATATTAGGCATACCTAAACCTATAGGTACAATACCTATTATACGGCTATACAACAGCACTGGAGTCAAAAGCTTAATAATATTATATACCTAACATTCAATTTTTGGTTACTGTGGTATCGTGTGACAAATATTCCACAATATGGTATACTTTAATGGAAACCACGCGGTTCAGCGAATCGGAGAACATTTTTTTACACGACATGGTGTAGTGTGAACAGTGGCGTACTAACGGGGGGGGTTTTGGGGATAAAACCCCTCCCGAAATTAATGGATGATTTAATTTATTATGAGAAACACACTGTGTGAACCCCCCCATATAGGCTTTAATCTACCCACGGCAGGCTCAATCACTAATACCATTGATTATGTATACCTGTTATAGTTTTTTTTTTTATGAATGGCCAACGCTAATACATTTATAATGTTTTATTATTATTATTATTATTATTATTATTGTCATTCTTCGGTTCGTCGCACAGATAAATGATAATCATGACGTGTAATAGCGACGACGACCTTGAGAAAACACATTTTCCGACCTGTATCTGTGTGGCTTAATTGTTTTTGAAATGCGAAATGCGTGACGAGCTATACCTTACGCGAAACGTACTGTGCCGGCCAAACGCTTTATTGAAATATCGTAACTGTGCTATTGTGTACACAATATAATATCATATAATAGCTGCAGTTGCGTACATACTTTGTGGGAGGGGTGATGGTTTCGTTTCCTTCCCCTCCCATCATGGCAGTTTTTTTCCGTTATATGTCGTAGCCGTAGGTGAACGGGATTTTGAGTAGGTAAATTGAGCTCAAAATGGCACTGTTATCTTAAGTATATTTTTTTTTATTAACAACACGAATTATGATATATACATTTATACTGTATAGGTATATATGTATATCAATTCGTGATTACCGCCATTATAATATCATCTCAGTCTATGATATTTACGTATGTCCATCGGTGTGCGACATCTGTGTAAAAATATAAAATACAAATTCAAACGAGATGACCGACAAAATGGGGAGGGGGGACCTAAATAGTTCCGGGTGTGCTTCACCACAACGAGAACGTGACCAAGAACTGTAGTCGTTTATTCCTCAGAATGTTTATGCGATGGAGTATCGTGCGACATCCGAACTTCCGAAGGCAGACGAGTACCTAGACGACATAAATCATTTAAGCACCTATATTGTGTAACAACACCCATAGACGCATTTAGTGTTTGAGATTTGGGAGGCTAAAGCTCACGTTTATATTGGACACTCAACTAACACTTATATTACGAACAAATTTTCCTCGCTGCGCTCCAACAGAATTTATCAATCAAAATCATCAACTTACAATGCTGTTAAATATGTATAACAATTTATTAAATTGTATTGTGATCATTATCTTGTACTGATCTGAATTTTTGATGAAATGAAATATTTCGAGCAGAAATAGATACAAAACATTTTTCCTACACCGTAGTGTAGCGTATATATGACATTAGTATTTGTGGTGAGGGGGGTTACCCCCCTTATTTGCGACTATTATTGTATCATAGGTGATGACAAGTTAAAATATGCTTTGGTACGTTTTCCCCGTCTTTCGACGGAAAGTCGGAAAACCGTTTACGCGTGTACTTTGGCTACGTGTACCCACGTCGACGATAACGACGCAGGTATTCGCATTCTTGCTCGCTTTCGGCATTCGTCATACTTATCGACGGTCGCCGTGGAGCGCGCGTGGGCCGAACCTCTCGCACCGCACCGCCGCCAGATGGGGTGGCGGGCGCCGGGTCGTGGGTGGACGACGGCGAGCCGCAGCAGCATCTGGTGGGTGGTTTTCTACTTCCGAGCGCCGCCGCGTCACAAACCGCGTCCGCTCGGAGTGATAAGATCCACTCCCCCCCCCCCACACACACCGCGCCGCCATCGTTTTGCTTGCGTGGTGCGTGTGCCCGTGTGCGTGTGCGTGCGTGGCGTTATCACCGTCCGAGAGCCGTTATCACTTGTCGGGCTGGCGGCGAGTCCTACTCCGGTCGCGCGACGTCGTCCAGTCGTCCGCTGTCTCGCACATTAACCGTCTAACACGAGCGCCTAACTACCGACGGCACACCGCACCGCCAGTCGTCAAGTCCGTGCGGCGTCAACACGTAGCCTGCCGCCGCCGCCGCCGCCGTCGTCGTCAGGAGCAGTACCAACCGATCCGTCGGCTGCCACGTTTCGACTGGGTAACCCGCGCGCACACGCGGACGGTCGGCCGCGGATCCGTTTCTCGTCCGGTCGTCGAGTGACTGACAAGTGTCCGTCTCCCGGTGCCGCCAACGGACGAGGGCCCCTTGTGTCTGGCGAAGAACACCGCTCCCGGCAACCTACATTCGCCCACTGAGAAGCCAGTGCCGCCGCCACGAACATGATCGGTAATTATTTTCATTGCTATGATTTGTCGCCATTATTTTCGCCACACGATTGTTGTGCCAATAAATTTTTTGAAAAAATATCATCACGATATCGGGTAAGTGTGTATGTGTGTGCGTGTGTGTGTGTGCGCGCGTGTTTGTACAGTGCGATCGCTCCGCACAAGACTTGCGTGCACTCGAAAATCTGGAACACATAGTCGCAGGTATAGGTATAGAGAGGTAGCAGCAGCCAGCAGGTGGTACGTCATACCTACCCAGTTTTGCTACAATATGGTGACACGGTTCTGTCGTTTGTATTTATTTCTTTCGGTCTAGTAATGAGATTTTGGTTTTATCGTTCATCAAATGCTCCATTCCGTTGATATCAAAGGTTTGTAGCTGTGAGTTTGTTGTTTTCAGAAAATTCTTTTTTTTTTTTCTGTACAATACCTAAACACAAATAAACTCAAATGGCCATAGATACAAAGGCAGTCTCTAAAAACCCCCTAGACATCTTTTTTTTATATTCTGTAGGTATAGTTAAATTAATTTCGTTTTTACATCATTCTAGACCTATATTATGCTTTTGAGGTCAATTGCTTGCATTTGAAACTACAGACTTTTATACTTTATCGTATGGTTTGTAAATGCTAACATATTGTGCCAAAATGTGAAAATAAGTACCTACCTTTGTTGTCAAAGTCACATTTGTATTTTTCTAAATAAATTGGTAGGTAGTTTTTGAGAAAATATTCATCTCTTATATTAAAAAAAAAAAACAATGAAGTATAATATTATATTCCCTTATAAATATATTCCATACTATTTAGTAGATTCATTTTTATACTTAATTTTTTTAATAATCAACTATTAGGTATGTGTGAGCGTGAAGTATCATTTAAGTAATATTTTTTACAGGTTTAATTTAGGTAGGTACATAATTACAACTTTCTGTGTTATTTCATTTTTCTAAATTTGTTAAAAAAATTTCCTGTTAGTACCCCCCCCCCCTCAATTTAATTCTAAAACACTCACATTTTGCCTATGTTAGACTCAATTAAATGTGATCTAGAGAAAACTCAACATTTAGTTAACATTTGATACCTAAGAAGTACCTAGTTGTCCTAGTTTAACATTGATAAGTAAGTAATGTTACCCATGTATTATTATTTCAGTATTTATTTTATTAGAAGATTGGTAGGTAACTCTAGAGTATACCATCAAATAAATATTATTAAGAGTGCATCACTGAATCACTTCAAGTTTTGTTATCTCTGTGTTACGCAAATCTAGGTCAATTGCCACCCGTCAGTTTTTAGGGATATCGGACATTAACAGGTGTGTGTATATAATTCTCACCCACAGGGGCATATCTAGAAATTCCTTATGGAGGGGGGGAGGGGCACAAACAGAAAATCTAAGTTGTACTTAATTATACGATATAACTCTTGTTTTCCATCTCAAAATTGTGTCATAATTTATAACCATATAACCAAAATATGCCCCTACCCACCTATAATATAATATTACAGTCCTAGGGCTTTGCATATTACTCGGTTTTTTTTTATTGCAGTCACATAAAGTAAGAGAATTCTTATACCTATTCAATTATTAAGCCTTATGTCTTATATTTTAAACATTTTTTTGAATTACAATACTGAAAATGGATTTGAACGACTATATATATTTACTTAGGATACTACTGACGACTTTTTCCTTTATTTCTTTGTAACCATACAACAGTCTTAAATTTGTTTGGTGAAATTTTGATAGGTAAATTTGTTTAAAAGCTGTTAGCAAGATCTATATAGAACTGCATGAGAAATCTAAACTTGTTTTTAAAATCCATATGGCATAATAAGGTTGATCACTGAGTAGTATTCAACATGTTGGAATGAAAGTAGATCTCTAAACATAAAAAAATCTGTTTCGAATCCCTTCTATGTTATTCTAAAATCCTACTACTGGGTGGCAATAGACCGAATAACATTGCTTAACATGTGGAACACAAACGTTGCAAAAATATTAAAATTATATAGGTACCTAGTTATTATATAAATAATTTAAGTAATTTTTGTTATTATTTTATATTTATATACATTTAAAAAAAAATCAAACAATTAGGATTTTACTTGTGTAAAGTGTTAACTAGTATAATATAATATTAATAGTTACATGATTCATATGTAGTTATCTAATTATATTTTTATTTGGTTCTTATTCATATTTATATGACTCATGTTATTCTTTAAATATTATTAAATGTTTATTAAGTACTTATTTGTTTTTCAGGTTCAAAAATGTTAGCTTTATTTGTTGCTGTGTTGGCAATCAACACAGTATCAATTCAAGCATGGGATACTGATCAAATGGAGGTTTTTGATCTGGTTGAAGAAATGAATAATATAAATTTTTATCAGTTTCTAGAAGTACCTGAAGTGAGTTTTATCTATATATAACTATTGTATGTACAATTAAATTACCTATGAAATTATCATAACTACCTACAATTAATTTTTAACAATATTTTATAATAAGTTAATACAATTTTTAAGATAGGTACCCACTTAAATTATATGTACACATACAATACAATGACAAGTTGACTACATTGTACATGGCTCAATGACCAAGGGAAAACAAATATGTACCGAAATAATCATCTATTAATTTAAATTATTTAAATAATGATTAAAGAATTTTAATAACTTCTTTATTTTTTATTAACTGACATGTTTTATACAGCTTTAAATAATACGACCCACTTAAAATGTTTTCACATTGTTTGTCAAATTTAACTATAATTTTTTTTTCTTTTATGTATTATTATAGCTCAAATATGTAACACAATTAAGAATTTGTAATGAATAAAACATTAAAAAAAATTTTCAATTGATTTTTTATAAAACATGTTTTAAAATCAGACATTACTATTAGTATTTTTAATAAACTAGTGCAATTTATTGCATGTCCAATTTTAAGGTTGTAAGACTAAAAAGTATATTTATATTTGATAAATATATTTGAATGTATATATGTAATTTAATGTCATTACACTTTTTTAGGATGCTAATTCATCAGCAATACGACATGCATTTAGAAGAATGTCACTAATATTACATCCCGATAAGAATGACTCTCCAGATGCTGAAGCCAGATTCAGAGAATTAGCTTCAATCCATGATGTCTTACGGGATCCTGTAAAACGTGGTCATTATGACAAAGTTTTAAGTGAAGGGTTACCGGATTGGCATCATGCTGTTTATTACTACAGAAGAGTTAGAAGGATGGGATTCCTAGAAATGATTGTTATTCTGTTTTCTATAATAAGTGTTGGACAATATCTTGTGGCTTGGGGATCGTATATAGAAAATAAATTCACTGTGGTATGTAATTATGATTTAATATTCATTATCATCAGCTTACTAATTATGATCTATTTTAATATTTTATAGGAAGAGTTATTGAGTTCAAAAATAAAAAAAATTCGAAAACAAAAGAAATATCGAGGTGATTCAACGTTACCGCCTGAATTTGATGTTAACATACCAAAACCTAGGTTTGATTTATTCATTGTTTGATATTATTATTTTTTTTGTTTTATTAAATATTTTTAATTCTTACATAAATAATTTTTCAGTTTGAAAAATACACTTCCATGTCAATTACCCTATTGGATATGGGTATTCATCTTAAAATCACCTTCACTTACAACTTCAGCCATATCATTTTTGATCACAAAGTTTAAAGAGAGAAAAAATAACCAAAAGTAAGTATCTATTTAATTTGGCTTTGTTATTTACAGTATTTACATACTATACTCTATCCAGCAAGAGAGCAAATCTAGGTGATGACCAAAACTTGTCCTTAAGCAAACACCATCTGTTGAATGCTGCCTCCTCCACTAGTAGTGTCGTGGTATTCACATAAAGGTACCCCATGGTAGGAGGATTATGATCTTGAGACGGCAGAATGCGTTCATTGGGACGTCTGAGTGAGAGTTGCGCTCTGTTGCTGGAATGAGTATAGTGAGGTAATCAAATACTGCAATCAGAGCCGTCTCAAGGGGGGGGGAGGGGAAATTAGGAATTTTTTTAAATATGTGTGTTTAATAGAAGGAAGGGAGGGGCGCGCCAATAGTTATCACATCACTACTCACTGACTGAAATAAACTATGAAGTATAATATGTGTTTCTTTTTAAATAAAGCATATATTTTATTTAATAGGTACCTATACAGTAATAATGTCTTTAACATTGTGAATAATTTTCCAATTTATGGGTTGGATTAAATCACTTGCCGTATTAATCATAGCTGTCTTACAATTCAATTTTATTTGAATAAATTAGTGTATACATACTTAATCGCAAACCTTTTTTACTCAAAAGTTAATCAAAGGGGCTCAGAAAATTAATTGTATAAATAAGTGTTATATAAACTTATTTTTTCTATATAATGTTGTAATATATAAATTCAAGTTATTGTGGTTATTTATATAATTGATGTGTTTTGTCTTAAGAACCATCTTATGGGTGATAATTTTTAATTTATAACAACTATAATAGATTTCTGTAACATTGATTACCTACTTGTTAAATGAAAATAATTTGTTTTATATCAACAAAAAAAAAATAGTTTCAAAATGTAGTTATACTTGGTTCCACGACAGAATATTCTGGTTCTGCACGTGTTGAATGAGGTATGTCAATTGATTTGGCCGTTATATCCCCTCCATGTCGCTAAATGTCGCCGATGATGACTGATATTAGTACACATAACAAATATAATCAGCTGCTGTCGACATAGAGCTACACTTCTACGATCGTGTGCCACTTATCGAGAATTTGATTGTGGATCTGCTGAGCTGATGCATTCTTATTATCATTTGCATGTTCTCTCGTGAAACAGAGCACAGTTATTAAATTAGTACTAGTATTTAATAAAATAGCATTACTTTTACATAGTTCATAAAAAAAAACCAGCCCCATGATTTTCTAGTTAACCATATCATATATTTAGCTTTAGTTCTTGAAGCAATAATGTTCTATTTTTATTTTCATAATTAAAATAACAAAATCTTTATTTATTTTTAGTAAAGTGGAATTTGAAAAACCAGAACCAGTTATTCGTGAGAGAATAAGACGTCGTAAAACGCCGTATAAGATACCAGAAATTAATGACTATAAAAACACTAATGGAGATACACGGGGAAAAGTTAATACTGAAAATAGTGATACTCCAGCAGTTGCTGGTGGTTTGTGGACTGATGAAGATTTATTCGAATTGTCTCAAATGGTAAATAAATTTCCTCCTGGTACGTCAGACAGGTGGCAAAAGGTTGGCAAAGCAATGCAACGCCCTGTTCCTGAAGTTGCATACATGGCCAACAAAATGAAACAAAATGGGTATAAAGTGCCAACTCCTGGAGAGACAATTGAGTCAGTTATCACCGAAGAACCAAAGAAAGTTAAAACGAGAGCGACAGAAAATCTTGATTCAAGTGATAGCTCTTGGACTCAAATTCAACAGAAAACGTTTGAAAATGCTCTTATTAAGTTTCCTAAAGGATCCACTGAAAATCGCTGGGAAAAGATATCCAAATGTGTACCAAATAAAACTAAAGTAAGTTTATACTCTATAAATAATTGTTTTATTTACTAAACTGTAAATTGTAAAGTATGTTGGATGTTCTTTAGGAAGAATGTATGGCAAGATACAAGGAATTAAATGAGCAAGTGAAAAAGAAAAAAGATCAAACTGATGATGGTATAGAAAATGTTGAAAACAACACTAATGAATTATAAATTATGAATTTCTATATACCTTGCTTTTATGTCCCCTGTTTCTTCTTAAGTCTGATTTGGTTGTGATTATTTAAGCTCATTTTATAACTGACATAACATCAGCGTGTGTTAATAGCCAATTGAAATGTAAATCCATGTACTAAATTAATATTAACCCTAAACGCTTCAACTGACCTATTGTCAATCTTACAAATAACTATCATGGATCCCAATTAAGATATAATTTATGATAATTTCCCTATTATGTTATAACTATTTTATTCATTAAATAAATTGTATGTTATTTATCTGTTTAAAATGAATATACCATGTATATAATGTGCTAAAAATGTTTGAATATTCTGTAAAAGTCTTCAATAATGACTTAGGTATTCTGTCATCCATTTCATTTGGCTTATTGTTATTTTAATTTTTCTTATGTTATCCAATTGAAGTTAATTCCTTGTATGTTATTACATTATTAATGAGTATACAATTATATTAGTGAAAATATAACATAATTTTTTGATGTGTTATTCAAATTACAGATTTTTTTTACTTTTAAATTATAAAATGTATCATTTTTAAGTTACAGCATTTAAATAGTCTTGGTCATTAATCATTAAATACTATGTTCTATATTTTAATGTATTTTCACATCGTTAGTTCAAAAACCTTAGATTACATAAGCATCTGTTTGCATGACTGTTAAAAAAAAAAAAATTTTAACTAATATAACGTAAGATCTATTATTTGTGATGGATATGGTAATGTAACAATACGATGATATGAAATAATAAAAATAAATTAAAAACATTTAATAGAAGAGAGCATTTTTAAAATATAAAAAAATTGTCATTTTTGAATAATAAATCATAAAAATGTTCTGTATGTGTATAGTGTCTCTCATAGTAACCGGTAAAATGTACGCTATATGTGCAATTATAATAAATAATTGGATGCGGGTTTATGGCTCTGTATTATGGAATAACAATGAATAAGATCTGATAAGGAATAAAAATATTTTTTCTTCAAAAATTCATCTATTATAATATAATGGACTACCAGTGAACTTTATTTTAAAAACCTTTGTTACAACAGATGATTAAAAATTAAATATAAACAGCAAAATGAAACTATCATTATATAATATTTTTCAATATTACGTTTTATTATTTTTAGTGACTGTTATTCTTAAATAATATATAATACCTATTTTCCATAGTTTTAAAAATGTACGATAGCTTGGCATCATATTATTAAGTGCTTTATTTGGATTGTTAATTTTCAATAAACTAAAATAATATAGTCAATAGTAGTACCTACTCAGAACTTTAATTTGATAGTTGTTTTCACATCTGAATTCATGGTTTAATGAACAAAATACTTGGTTTCCTAAATAAATGATTTCATCGTGATTACATTTAAAAACTTTGATTGGGTTCCTCATAATTAAAAAGTTCGATTATCTTGATGATAAATCAAGATATTATTCAAATTTTATTTTAAGATTTGAATATTGGATTATGATATAATTAATATGTTTCTCATGATGTGATATCTACAGAAAAATAATATAATAAATTGTTTTAAGGAGTAATATTTAGGCAATTTAACCAGCATGTGCTGACGTCTGAGGTTGGTAAATGACCATTAGTGTATGTAATCCTTTATAGCATTTAACTCCTGCACTCGCACATGTCAATTGTCAAGAATACGCCGAGGAAAATTATTAGTTATTAACATTAAAAATACTTAAATTCATTGTTATACATAGGTTACAGGCAAGGGCATATGCAGAAATTTGTCAAGGGAGATAGGAGGGGCAAAATATTTTCAATTTTTGTTTCAGTATCTGATTGGTGATTAAGCATTTTGTTTGTGACTAGTTTCTTTCGTGTAAGTACTTAAAAATTATTTATGAACTATAATAATATGTAGATTGATGAAACTTAAACTTACCTACAGCATTGAGTTTGAGATTAAAAAATGCAATTTTTTTATAAATCAAATGTCAAAATTGATTTCATTATTTTAAGTTGTTTATAAAATTAAATGTTTCAAACTTTAATAAAATATTTATGAAAGCTGATGTTACCTAATGCAAAAACAACCAAATTATTTAAATTCTTTGAGTACTCAAGTCTAAAAACGTTAAACCCCCCCCCCCCCTTGTGGATGCCCTGGGTTATAGGTAGGCATTTTCTAGAATTCGATTGTAATTTCGAAAAAAATGGTTGAATTCATAAGTTTCTAAACGGGGCTGTACACGAATCACTTTTTCCAGGTGATATCTGATGTGCCCAAGATCAATACAAGTGACACGGAATTTAAAGAATATATTATTGTCTTAATCTTGAGGTTCTTTAAAAAATCGAAAACTGTAAATCGACTTCCTAAATAGCCAAAGTATTTTGTCTAAGAATGCATACATAGGTGAACAATTTAAATCGGACATTTCGAAGTAGGTATGTGAAAGTATTCACCAATTAAAACAGTTTATGGATTAGCAAATACAAACATTTTATGCTGTGACAAATTAGAGAATAGAGATTAAAAATCATAACTTAAAACGTAATATATAGGTAACTGACGTTTTAATAACCAACCATAGGCAGATGGGTATTTCAACACCACGATAGGTGGACAGGTAGGTACAATCTTGTATAGTGAAAAACTGAAAACTGAAACCTCTTAAAAATAATACGTGTAACTGTATAAGTATATTATAATTTATAACTTACTACTTTATTTTAATTTACGAATTTATGAATTTTTAAATTTGTATTATCATTAATCATCAAATATTATGCTTTAATGTCTAAACGGTTGTACAATATTAAGAAATAATCTTTGCAAATTAAAAACTACATAACATGTACTGTAACTTGTAATATTTTTTTTTGTAGTTTCTTGAAACTTATTTTTAGCCTACTTTGAATTTACAACACTGCAAGTCTGCAAATACAATATCGAATAACCCACAAAAACGTGTAAATTCAATAATCTTCGAGTTTTAGCTATGAATAATACATATGCAAAATACATATTTTACTTGAAAATTTAACTTTGAAATATTTGATTATTAATTTTATAATAAATTACAGTAGGTATGTACCATATAGAATCATAAGCGGAACTAGAATATTTTATTAGGACAAGTCTAATGATAAACATGTAAACAATTTCTAATTACATGATGAATTTTTAATTTTAATTTTAAATTTAATTAAGTCGGTATCTTATGCAGTCAGTATTAGATCAGACTATGGCTTGGTAGCTTCACGCTTAGTTTCATTTATACAAGGAGTCATGACTTCGGTATAACTAGGGTTCTAAAGTTTAATGAAATTAATTTTTTTGAAATAATTCATGAAACTTTCATGAAATATTTCAAATTTATGAAAAATAAAAAATAAAATTTTAATTTAAAACAACTGTAGGAAGTATAGTTATAACACCTCTAATTAATTTTAATGTTAAGGGGAAAATGTTAAAGAAATATTGCTTACACCGTTACGTTTTGTAAATTACATAATAAATATCTTCTCTACATCGTGTTCGGGAATTAAATATTGATAATCACTAATCGGGCATGAAATCAGTCTAACCATCTAGTGGTGATTTTATAAAACACAATATTAAAATTAAAATTAAAAAAGGAATTTTTCAATATTTCATACTAATACCCTTACTTATAACTCGATGGTCACACACTAACTGACAATAACTTATAAGTCTTAACTGTTTAAAATATAATTCAATAATTGTAATTTGTTATGTACTGCTGCTGCAGTCTTCAATGAAATAAATATTATTTTCTTTTCTTTTCTTAAGTAAGTATAGTATGACAATAATATTCTATAGCATGCTGTCTATAAGTATATTTTAATATACAGTTTAATAATCTATAGCAGCGTTTCCCAAAGTGTGTTAAGCGGAACCTTAGGGTTCCGTGGGACAATGTCTAAGGTTCCGCCAGATGTATGAGATTATTGAGGAAATTATGTTCATTTAATGTTGTTATTAAAAAAATTTTTGATTGAAAATTTTTTTTTAAACTAAGTTTAATAATGAAAAGTTATTAACAGTATCATTAAAATATTATTTAGACTTGAGAGTTTAGAGAATTGATTTTCCTTTTTTTATTTAGAAAAATTGTAGTTGAGTTGGATTAGACATTAGGGTTCCGCGAAACACAAACAATTTTTTAAGAGTGCCGTGGTCGTAAAAGTTTGGGAACCGCTGATCTATAGTATACATTTAAAATTTGTCTTTTTTTTCGAATCAAAAAACAATACTATGCATATAGATCATAGTGGCTATAATATAGTCTTAGAGACAATTAAAACAACGGTTTAGTCCATTAACACATTGCATACGTTATGCAGGTAGGTGCCTAATTATGAAATAACTATGATGATAATCAATATTGAAGCACGACGTTTGTAAGTTTCTGGGTATAGTTTTGTCAACTGAAAATTGTTCATTACCCATATGGGGTTTAATCTGCAGCAATCACACATTTGATGAAGTATTTATGGCCACATCGTAATATTTTATAATAACAATAATATTACAACAGCTTCGCGGAAAAAAAAACACAAAGCGTTCTCGCAGATCGATCACAACAATCAGTACATAATAATAACAATATTATGGGAAGTGGATTTTTAAACCACAGTTGACACCACCTGTTGTAACTCAGCCGCGCGTGAACTTGACGTAACAAGATTTTCGAGTGGCATTTTTTTTTTTTTTGGTAGAAAAATGTATCGCGTGCAAGCGTGGTAGGCAAGGTAATATTATTATCATTTGACATAATAATGAAAAACGATGCTCTCGACGAAATCAGTGGCCGATCGCCGGAGTGATCGATCAGCGTCAACGCGTTTTCACACGCTTTCGAATATCGGATATATCCGTGTACTATATACATGTCCGACACACGCTTGACATAATATAATTATTATATTATAGGTACCTATACGTATGGCGTTGTACATTTTTTATATTACAATATTGCGATGTAGCTGGATGCCTGGATGGGATTTCTTCGTTTTTTCACATTTTTGCGAGTCACGACGACGAGTGGAATTTTCGACACATAGGTGTGGGTGTACCTACTCATCGACGATAATCATCTATAATAATATTTCATGTCTTGTGGAAAACTACGTATTTCTAGCCGAAACATTAAGCCCCGAACCAACTAACATCACGAAACTCGGCCGATTTCAACACATCTCATAATCATCATATACTGTCACGCGAATTCTCAAACCTCCACACTGTGACAATATATCATCACTATACCATTATAAACCTCTAAAGTAACTTATTCGACATCTAGATACATCTTTCTTTTATATTTATATCTGTTTGTATATTTTATTTTGTTATACCTTACTTATTTCAAGATATTATATACTCTCACAAAAAAAAAAAAATCGTATTACACATTTTACTTATGAGCTCTCCACAACCCCATTTTCACGAATTCCACATCATTGTAATTTTTAAAAAGATATCAACAATATTTTTAGTAATAATTAATTTTTTTGAAACCTGGTTACACGTATTATTTTTTCGTAACTACTCACTAGCAAAGGTACCCACCAACCAGGGCCGGATTTAGAACAAGTGCCGCCCTAGGCCCTTTGAAATATGCCACCCCTACCCCACGAAAAAAAATGTTGTAATTATTTCTAATAAATTTATTTCATTTTAAAGAAATTAGGTCAATAGTCATTATAAACGAAACAAATAATAATTATAAATCTTAATTAGGCATTATCAGTATACATTTTTAATCTTAATCTTAAA